CAGTGTAAAAGTGTTCCTATTTCTCCACATCCTCTCCAGCACCTGTTGTTTCCTGACTTTTTAATGATTGCCATTCTAACTGGTATCTCATTGTGGTTTTGATTTGCATGTCTCTGATGGTGAGTGATGATGAGCATTTTTTCATGTGTCTGTTGGCTGTATGAATGTCCTCTTTTGAGAAAAAGAAGACTGAGGACTGCAGTCACATGGCAATGGGATTAAAAGTGAGCTCAAAAATGAGGAGGCAGATCTGGAGTCTGTTGAAAAAGGATGAAAGAGAGAAGGATAAGAGATAACTGCTACAGGGGAACCATGAAGGGAAAAGGATGGTGTTTGTTTCTTTGGACTGTGGGATGGTAAACAAACCTGTGTTTTGTCTTCATTGCAAAAGCTTGCACAGTCACAGGATGGGAACAAAGGTTGAAATAAGGTTCTAAAGGAATCTTGCAAAGTCTAGGGTCAAGAACACCTATAAATGAGTTGCCTTTTTCAGTTCTAATTATCCTCCAGTTCATAATCCTGCATCCTAACACATCCATTTCTATCTTAACCTTTTGTTCATTCTTTAAAATGCTTACATCTATGACAGCATAGGGAGGCTATGAAGCAGAGGACCCAAGTTGAAATCCCAGGTTACTGATATGTTACCTTGAGCAAGTTATTTGACATCTCTGTGAGATAAGATAATAATATCACCTCTCTTGTAGGATTATTAGTAACTGTTTCTAATTCATGGAGAAATTGTGAGGATTCAATTATTTAATTCATGTAAAGCTCTTAGAAATGTAACTGCACATGACAAGCACTCCACATATATTAGCAATTATTATGATTCTAGGCACATGTAAGTGACTTATGTGAATCATGTCTTTGAATCCTTAAAATTCCCCTATGAGTTAGATACTATCATTCATCCCATTTCACATATTATAATGACATCAAATAATTATTGAAAACTTACTATTTTCTAGCCAAGGATTTAAAAGTTTTATATGCAACACCAATAACCAAGTTTACTATTTATAGTTATATACTATAATTTTTCCTGCCCCCAAGCCCTGCCCCACCATCTACCCCCAAATAGGGAATTGAAGAATTCCTCCATAGGGAAACAAATCATCTCAGTAATAAAGTTAACATGATTTTATATCTGAGGATCACCCAGGAAAGAGTTGAGGCCACACTCAATTATTCAGTGAGCTACTCACTCAACAAACCCTGCCCTGACTTACACAAAGAGAAACTGACTACCTTTTAGCGCCTCATTATTTGATTGAACAGAAAACCAAGGCTTATTACGCAGTTGGGGAGCTGTCGAACATAAGAAACAGAGACTGAAAGAGGCAGAGAGAGCAGAGGAACATTTTGTAATGAATAAGAAGGTATTACATTTGATAATGATGAAAAGAATGCTATAGAAAACATTCTTGGAAATTAAAAATATAATAGTGAAAAATTAATAGATGGGCTGAAAGAGAAAGTCGTAGCAAACTGGAAATACAAGAAAATTAGGTAATCAATCCAGGAAGTATTTGATGAGTAAAAGTTTCAGAAAAATAAAACAGAGGGGAGGAATGATTACCAAAGTTCCTCATAACTGAAGGGTCTGAATCTCAACTGAAATAGCCCAGGGAGTACCCACAAAATGGGTGAAAAGGAACCATTTCACAACTCACTATTTTAAAATTTCAGAGTACTAGAGATAAGATTCTAAAAAGTTCAAAATAGTGAAAACAAAACACATAATGTAAAAGTTATTCCACAAGCCAAGGATGAGAATTTTGAGTAGCATTTGATTTCTTTTTTTCTCTTGTATGAGACAGGGTCTCACTCTGTCATCTAGACTGAGTGCAATGTCACAATCATGTCTCACTGAAGCCTTGATCTCCCGGACTTAAGCAATCTTCCCACTTCAGCCTCTGGAGTAGCCAGTGCTACAGGTGCACGCCACCTTGTTCAGCTAATTTTTTTACTTTTTCTGTAGAGATGGGATCTTGCTGTGTTGCCCAGGCTTGTCTCAAACTCCTGGGCTCAAGTAATCCTCCCGCCTCAGCCTCCCAAAGTGCTGAGATTACATGCACGAACCAACACACCTGGCCAGTATTTTATTTGTTAACAGCAATTCTGGTATCTAAAAGACAATGTAAAAGTACCTTTAGATCTATGATACAAAACCGTTTTCAGTATACAGTTCTATATCCAGTCAAACTGTCTAACGATGAACATAGAACCAAGGGATTTTTAAACATACAAAGTCTCAAAAAGTTTACCTCTCATTCACTATTAAAGCTTTTAAAGAATTAGTTCAGGAAACAAAGGACTGAGGAAACAAATGAAAGGCATGAGATACAGAATCAGGGAGTTAAATACTTCAGAAAGAAAATGATTCTCAGAAAGTGAAATAAACTCCCTCCTTAACAGTTGTATAGCAGGCCAAAGCAGATCTTCCTAAACTGAAAAAAAGGACAGAGGGCTTCAGAAAAGTTGTTCCCTTGGGGTAAAATAAACAGATTCCTTGATATGTTTGCATATATTGAGACGAGATTAGTATATCTGCTTCGGAATCAAAGTAGTAATAGGTACATAGAGAACTAAGAAAAGAAACCAAAATTAAGGCAATAGTCAACTCTAGGGAAAACAAAAAGTTGTACATAAAAGGAAATGTAAGCATAGTCTAATATATTGCTCAATTATTAATAATATGTACATAGGCAAAATAACATAAACACTCAAATTATTTAACCAAAATTTTGACTAAATATGGTGACATGAAAGGGTGGGAAATATGCATGCTAATTAGCTATTTTAATACAGCAAAATGAAGAAATAGAAAAATAACATGTTATTTTGAATTATGAAAGAAAATTCCATAAATAACTAAAAGATTTCAAAGTGCTGAAAGTGGTTGCTTCTGGAGAGTGAGAATCAAGAATGGAGTGGGTGGGATTTGTTATAGGCCCCACCCACTTTAGAACCATTTGATTGTTTTTAGAACCATTTGATGTTTTAAAAT